CTCAAACACACAGTGGGCCAAAATTAAAAAATGGGTGCTAGTCGAGGGCCGGACTGGTTCAATGTTTATTGCAGAACTTATTGAAATGAACTTATTGCACATATTAAACCTGGAACTAACAAAGCTTAAATGATTGCCTATAAAAACAACTTTAAACATTAAATAATCAGTTGCATTCATTTCTTATGGCTCTATCTGCAGCTTTTCCAGAGTCATTTCTTATGATTACATTTTTCCACAGGCCAACAACAGCTTCAACAAAACTATTTCCCTCAAAGAGAAACCAAACATGCCCTGTTGTCGTGAAGAGAGAAAGTGCAGAAGGAAACATCCATTAAACTCAGTGTGCTGCTCTGTGATGCTAGTTCAAGCCAGATACTTGGCATCTCATCTTGGGTGCAAGTTCATCAATGTTTGGGCTCAGGCTCTGAGCTGAGGAGACCCTCAGGATGGAGTGAAGGTGTGCGTGCAATATACCGGCGGGCCAGATCTAATAGTGATTAGAAATTATCCTGCGGGCCGAAATTAAATCCACCACGGGCCTGATTTGGCCCCCGGGCCTTGAGTTTGAGACTTGTGATTTAAAATAAAAAGTTATTTCATTTGTATTATGTGGTCGTACAACAAGCTTAGTTTTAGATTTATGAGTGTTTTTATTCAAGTTTTATGATGTTTTGATTTGTCCTGAGATAACAAAATTAAAGTGTAATTCTTACAGCATGACAAATCACCATAACTGCAGTTTTCCTTCTTCAGTGGAAACTCGCTGCAGGTCTGAAGACGCACACGGACGATTACTGGTGGTTTTGGTTTTTGTCAAACTGCAGTGTGGTACAGTACTGGTGGGTGTTTCCTTCATGTTGCTAAACTCTTGCATATCAACTCTTATTAATCAGTCTATGGTGGCCTGTGAGGGACAGTTTGCTTATTTAGTCTGCCTGTAAACAGGGTCAAGAACAGAAAATGCACTTACTTATCTTTTTAAATGTGTAACCACTATAACTACTGTTGGTGTTAAAATGTGTTGTTTATTTTTGACACTTACAGTAACTTCTTATGTTTATAAAATACGTTATTATTTGTATTTTATTGTGTATTCTCTAGAACATTTTACATACATTTCCTATGCTTAAATATCCTATTTTATTTTAAAAATAATAATAACAATAATATTGCAAATTCTTACTTTTTCTGTTTGTACCATATTTAGTTTTTTAACTCATTCAAACAACTGTCACGAAACACAACTTCCCCTCATGATAATTCGAATATATCCCCTTCAGATTTAGATTTGAAAAGCTGTAAAAAGTTATGAGGAAAGTAATGAAAACAGAGATCTTGATGAGAATAAGATGCATCAGTGTATTATGTAAACAGTGAACAGAGAGTGTGTGAATTTCAAATCTGTCCTCTGTGCACCACCAGCTTCAGGTCAGCTGATGTTGACTCTCGCGGTTTGATGCAGCCGTATCAGGAATGTTCTCAGCGTGAGACGCGGAAAACTTGGCAAAGATCGCTCATCAGTTTCTCCTGCAGCCTCTTTCTTCTGGGCGAAAGAAAACACTGACACCGGCTCAGAGGCACGGCTGCAACATTCAGGCCGACAGAATCTGTGTCAGCACTCAGCAGGAGGCCAAGAGGCAGAGGAACTCTAATACTTCTGCCTCTTCTTGTTATTATTATTCCTCTTGTTCTTGTTCTCCTTCTTGTTCTTCTTTTTCTTCTTCTTCTTCTTCTTCTTCTTCTTCTTCTTCTTCTTCTTCTTCTTCTTTTAAATGGGTAAAATGTTTCAAATGATATTTTATTTATTTATTTTAAATTGTAATGTTTTTAGGTTTTTCCCAATTCTTTTGCGGGGTGTCTGTATAGTTGAAACAAACGTAAATCAAATTTGTTTTAAAAATCCCAAAAAATCTTCTTGTTCTTGTTGATGTTCTTGTTCTTGTTCTTGTTGATGTTAATGTTGATGTTCTTATTTCATCTCTTCTTCCTGCACGCTGTTTGTGTCCATCATGAAAACGCTGTGTATGAACATCAGAATTTAAAACAAAACGGTGTTTACGAAAAACGCCATTCAAGTTTTATCATAATTACTATTTATAATTTGTCCAAGAGATGCTGATGTGAAGTGAACTTTGGCAAGAGGCTAGGAGGCAAATTGTGAAATTGTCAGGGATACAAATGGTTAGTGGTAAACAAATAAATAATAAAATGTTATGAAAAATACAATTTTGACCAAATAAGTAGACCATGTTTGAAAACCATAAGCATACATATTCACCGATTTCTTAGTGAAAAATCTATTTAAATTTCACTGTAATTCTGGTCAAATTCTAGGTTTGAGTTTGATGTTTTTTATACAGCCTTTGGGTTAAATCCCAAATATCAGTCTCTCTTGATCTTTATTTCAAGTAAACAGTCAGTGATGATGGGTGGAAAACCAGTGAGTGATCATATCCTTTCTTTATATTAATGATCTAGGTTCTCACAATGCTTAGACTCATTCAAGGAACACACAGATGTACCACTAAGTGCATCTGCATGTTAACCGTAAGAGTGTTAATCCATCTGACCTGACCGACTGAATACTACTTCTGAGAAAGGAAACGGCACACAATAAACCAACATAAATAACCAATCTGTACACAATGCACCGAATATACCACAGGCTCTTTCTCCACATTGTTCTGGTGTCTCTGACCTTTGTTTCGGTGGCAGACTAAGACTATCATTATGCCATTTCCATTTGCCAAAGGCAAGCCCATATTCCTCAGAGATCCTGTGGTTTGATTAATGTGCTGAATATAATGTAACAGCTGCCAAAAGAGAGACAATCTATTCAAGATCTGTCAGCACGATGTGGATGAACACACGTGCAACTTCATTTACAGACCTTGTTTCAGCATGTAGCATCAAAGAAAACGTCTGAAAATTTGCAGAGTGTTCACTTTCAGATCATGTTTTAATATGTTATTATTGGCAGTGATGGGTCATACAAGGTGGCATACTCTCATATTCTGTCCCTACAACCTGTGGCTTTTCCTATTGTGTCTCTATAACTTTTAACAAGCAAACCAATTGTCTGATCATTTGCTTTCAATAACCTAAGCCTTATTATTTGCTACTTGCAGAAATAAGAGAGATTTATAGATATTTTTAGATTTGACTGGCCGACGTGATGTTGAAACATGCTGGTTTTCAGTCAGCGCCAGAAGATGTGTAGACTTTCTGTTGTACAGATATTATTGTATGTTTATCAAAGGGGCTCTATTGGGCTTTTGGGGGTTTCCGCTTTCCTGTAGTGTGTTATAGGTTTTTGTGCATGTTAATGGTCTGCAAAGGCTAACATCCCAGAGTTTCTCTCCAACACACTCCCCCCCTGCCTAAAACCCCTTTGTTTACCTCCAGAACATAGTGACATCACTATGTAACACTCGTGCTTCTATTGGCTAGCGCTCCAACACATTGTACGTAATAGGCTAAGGGGCGGGATATCTAAGAGGTTGACCAATCCTAACAGAGCCAGCCAGCTAAACAATCAGAGCAGACTGGGCTCTGGTTTCAGACAGAGGGTGAAGAGAGGTGCTGCAGCACAGGAAGTATGAGAACAATAAAGAGCTTTTTGAACATTAAAGCATGGAGACATGTCACAGTAGAGACACTACATACTGATATGAACCTAAAGGTACCCTTTAAGTTAAGGGATTTACAAAGAGTCTAAAGTGTCCTTATAGCAATATTATATCTTATAATAAGTCATATTCGAGTGCTGCCCTAGTCGTTCTTTTCTTATTATGCGGAATTCTGCAAGTTTGACACATTTCCAACCTGATACTGACTCTAGATTTTCTTCCTAACTGTGTCTGACAGGCGTGAATGAAATGAGAAAAAATGTCTCGACAGAGTTTCAGGTGTGAACATGAATGACTGGAGAGGATCTTACACATCAGATAACCACAACTATCTGCCCTCAAAAACGAGGAGAATATGACAAAATGGGCGAAATTATTGACATGATGAATTGACAGTCTTTCGTCTTCATGAATCAGATTTTAAACGTCTCTAAGGCAACACACACACCTTCCTGACTCCTCCAGTATGTCGGGTTAGGATAAAAATGTTAACCTAATAAAAAGGGAGAATCGACCTTCTGTCCATCCTAAGGATGCGTATCTTTCCCAGAATGCACTGTGACGGCAGACACAAGCCCTCTCTGTGTGTCGGCGTTCCCACCGTTAGGAATCACATGATGGATGACTGCGTTGGAACCGAGAGCCGCAGACACTCTAACACGAGAATAACCTGAACACAACACAGACGGTTTCAGTGTTTAACGTCTACAGCTGCTGCCAAGGTGCCCTTTAGCAAGGCATCTTACTTCATCACAGAAGTCTTCAGGGAAACTTATATCATATATTCTATAATGTGTTTTTTGGGGATTGGAAGGACATTTATTATCTTGTAAATATACCTTCCTTCATCCTGACTTGCCTACGTTTATGCCAATTTCCTACATTTCCCAGAATGCCCTTTGAAAATATCTTCTTGCAGACAGTATGTATCATCACATGTGTGCAGAGGTGGGAAGTAATGGAGTACAAATACTTTGTTACTGTACCTAAGAACATGTTTCTGGTATCAGTACTTTACTCCACAACTTATTTTTCTAACAACTTTTTACTTTGACTTCTTACATTTTGAACACAAATACCTGAACTTTCTACTTCTTACATTTTGAACCCAAATAACTGTACTTTCTACTTCTTACATTTTGAACACTAATACCTGTACTTTCTACTTCAAATACCTGTACTTTCTACTTCTTACATTTTGAACACAAATACCTGTACTTTCTACTTCTTACATTTTGAACACAAATACCTGTACTTTCTACTTCTTACATTTTGAACACAAATACCTGAACTTTCTACTTCTCTCATTTTCCAAACAGGCTGGTTCCTTTAGTTTGAATGTGTGTTTGGTGGCGTGATCATTATTATTTAGAGTCATTGCGTGCCTATTGATTTGAACACGATCCGTGTATCCATCATTTCCTGGTCTTCTCTAAAGAAGAGGGACCAATGAAAACGTTGTCATGTTGCCGTTGTTCAGCACGGAAACATTCATTAGCTAACAATGACATTATTGTTCTATTAATATAAAGGGAGGTCAGGTACTCTTTAAAACAGCTGCTAGTTATGGGTAATTTTTACTGAAGTACATTTCAAAGCCCATACTTCTTTACTTTTACTTGAGTAAAGAAGTTTAGTCAGTACTTCTACTTTCACCAGAGTATTTTTAAACACGAGTATCTGTACTTCTGCTTGAGTAAAGGATGTGTGTACTTTTGCCATCTCTGCATGTGAGGTTTTGTAAACGTCAGGCAAACACCTGATTCTCTCCGGTTCATCAGGACATGATTTGTCCTCTCAAGAGAAACAAAGAGGAATAACAGAAGGAAAGACATAAACGTTGACAATACCTGCAAGAGTAAAACGAGAGAAAACGCAACAGAATTAGAGATTTAACCAACGATGTATAGATTCAAAGATCCAAAAGTTCATAGGCTTTATTTGTCATATGGCTACAAAGCACTATCATCATATCTTTAATCATGATAAAAAAAAAAACTAAGATATTAAACCATATATTCCGTATACTTTAAGTATTTTCTTGCCCGTCAAGTTATATTTGTTCACTCCCATAAGGACATTTTAAAGCTTCTGATTGTGAGGTTTCTCTGTAAAGATACATCAAAAAAAGACTGCTTGATTAAAGTTCAATTAAAAGTAAAAATAGCTATATTTTCTGCAAAGTCTATTTTAGTTTTTATAGATTTATTTGAATTCAACTTTTATCTGGAGTAAATAAGGCATTTAATGTCTGGCTCTCAGAATTTACAACCTATTCAAACCACTACATTCCTCCACACTGCATCGCTTCTGATGCTTTGAGAAACATTACCACCTACTTTCACCCGGAGAAAAAGAGACTGAGAGCCGAGTGAACACGGTCGTCTGCAGCGAGCTCTGCTAAATACCTCCAGATGTTTGGCTACTTCAGAGCTCTCTCACACACACACACACACACACACACACACACACACACACACACACACACACACACACACACACACACACACTCTTTATAATGTGTGTCACAGACAATCACTTAACAGGCCAGTGTGTTGACATCAAGGGGGAAAAACCTCAGAGGGGGACGTTGGGTTTGAATATGTCAGAGCTAAGAGAGGAGAACGAGGACTGATCTCTTGTTTGACCGACTTTTTTATATACTTGGGTTGAGGACTTGGACTTGCCTTAAATATCTACTCTGGACAGAATTTTCTTTTCACCAGAACATCCATGGTTCCCAAGTTGTTTGCATTGTGACTGTTCAAACCAATCCCTTATATCTAGTTGTGACCCCTCGTCAAAGGTTATGGCCTCAGAAAATAAGAGAGATTTCATTTTCCCAGATCTTATTTAGAGGATTTGGTCTGAAGACGTGAACTGATCCGGTATTTCATGAGAAGAGATGAAAAAAGTACATTTTGCAGAACAGAATTTGGAGTAGAAGTAGCCGTGCATGAAGCCTGTTGTTGCTACAATTTTTGCACTTCTGCATTTACTTTATTTTATTTCTCCTTGTTATTTTTCTCTTACGTTTATATCAGTATTTTTATTATAATTTTTTCTAGTATATTTCCCTAGATGAATAGAGTATTCTGATATCTGCAATTAGCATGAAATGAAAATACACGAGTAAAATATTTCTAGTGTTTTGTAAAAACCAAAATGTTGATTATATGTGCCCTTTATTTTTCGGTTTGCATTTTGCTATAAATTCCTCATTGATCTGTGTTCAAGTTTAACTTTAGTGTGAGGTTTCCACAGACAAAACACAACCACCTCTTGTGAGCTTCACATACTCATAAAACTTTTTTGAGCTCTTGCATGTACCGATAGCCAACAGACATCGGTACAGGTGCTATACGTTCATTTTAGATTTTGCAGCTGCATTCTGGTTCTTTAATTAAGTGACAACTTCTAGTTCCCATCACTTCTGGCGTGTGGCGCAGTGGGTTAGTGCGCTGATCTTTGAATCAGAGGAAAGCAAGTTTGAGTCCTACTGCAGGACAGCATGTCGTTGTGTCCCTGAGACACTTCACCCCAAATTGCTCCTGTGGGGATTTGTCCACAGTATTGAGTATGTATGCTTTGGATAAAAGAGTCTAACAAGTAATGAAATGTCATTTCTTGACTCACTTTATAGCGTGTCTACAGAGAAACAAGACAATGTGTATCTTGCAATCCATTGTTTTAGTTTATGAGCACATTACATATAACAAAAATATGCTGTTTAAATCATTCACTTCACTCCCTTTATGAAATGAGTTATGCTAAAACACGAAGAATGAATGTAAATCTTAGCTTTTAGGCAACACCCTAAAAACTGGAGAAACACACACAGCTGTTTCCTGGTCGGCCTGATTCAGACACATTTCTAAAACATTACACATGACACAGTGTGTACATTTACATTTACAGCTCAGACGACGTTTGAGAGCCTTAAACTTCAGAGGGGAAGAAAAGCAGAGGAGACAAACGGCTGCTTCTTGTCCTGAAAAATCCTCTGTCACAAAACCAGGGATTAGGAACCCAAGTATTTTGTGGGTATCATTTTCCAATTTTGGAGAAATACTCCAGAGAAAAGTTTATGTGCGATGATTCAGTCGTTTTATGAAAATAATCTTCTTTGGCAGGTTTTTTTAAACGCCTGATTAAATAAAGAGTGGAACAATAAGCCACGCAAAGTGGACTCAATGTCCGAGGAAAGAATAACTACAATCTGTGAATCGATAGCGTAACCACACTCCTCAGACATTCCCAAGCTCATAAACTATGTTTCATACAGACTGTGGTGGAAAAAAACACCACATAAATAATGTTCTGCATCTAAACTCTCAGATTTTTAAGCCCACAGCTTAACAGAATGTCTTCATCTCACATGAGAGAAGTTATTTTCACCTTTATCTGATCAGTTTTTACACATCTTCATCATATGTTTGGTCTCTAAGAAGTGACACAGGGCATCCCTGAGTTGTACCGCAGCCAATCTCTTACTATAATTTGAGGAGATTGTTTGGGGGGGTCCTGTAGAAGCAGCATTCCTGCATGATAGAAATGTATTTCAGGGCTGGGACAAGGCCTGGGAATGGAGCCATTGATATTGGGTGGGGTGTGGGGGGGTTGGGGGGGCTGGCAACAACCCCAACAAAACAATTCTCGTTCATTTTAACTTGTTCAATCTCCTCAACTTCATACAGCTGCGTTGCAGTGACAAAGCACCGCTGTCAGACAGTACAGTCCGCAAACAATGACGGTATATTATACTTATTTTCTCATTGACTTTAATGCATTTTTTTTTAATCGTCATGCAATGGGATTTCAAAACGTTCCAAGGGCCCAATAAGTGTCATGCAACTCAGTCAGCACATCAGCGATCATGTCAGCTTTCATTCTGAAGGAGGGAAAATGTGAAACCACAATATTGCAGTTAGGTGGTTTTTTCCACGACAACAGCAAACAGTGTAATGACAGAGGGTTGGTCTTTATTGGTCCTGGCATCACAACACCGATCCCTCGAGAGGAGGATAGAGCCGTTATTGTCTGAAGAGACTTTAAATTATTCAGCAGGCGGATCCGTGAGGCTGGAAAGACCCCCGCCCCGCTCCTCATTGTCTCAATGTTTGTTGCTTTTCTTTTAGTGCTTTTCTTTTTTGTTGACTTTTGCTTTGGATGCTGCTAAGTTAGACACTTTGCTTCAGAACAAAGATCCTACATTTAGTCAACTATTAGCTCAAATTCCATCACTTTTTATGTTATTATCAAAGTCAACTTTATTGTCAATCGAAATACCGTTTCCCACAATCCCGAATACAAAAACAAATATATATAAAAATATGTATGCAAATATGTATATACCTATTATACTTATTATACTACCTACCTACCTATACCTATACCACAATCAAAAGACATTTATACATATGCACACATTAGAACCTAAATAAAAGCACAACAGTCAAAATATATACAAAATACGGTTTTGCCGCAGTGGTTAGAGCGTTGGTCATCAGATCAAGGGGCGTTGGTGAACTCCAGTTCGAATCCCGCCTCGGGCGTCAGGCCGTTGTGTCCTTGGGCAAGACACTTTACCCGCATTTGCTCCTGTGGGTAATGTCCACAGTAATGACTCTTACATGTCTAATATGTGTAATGTGTAATTGTAAAGCGCTTTGAGCACCTGTAAAAGAGCTCTAATAAAACATTTAATGCATTATTATTATTATTATTATTATTAACAGTCACTTCAATATCTTTAAGAATGTACATTAGTGCCAGATTGTTCATAGCGGCGTCAAAAAAAAAGTGTCTGGTGTTGGATTTGAGTGCCTGTGTGTGTGGGGTGTTAAAGTCCAGTGGTTCATCCAATGGTTCCCAGGGGATGAACCGCTTTATTAAAGATTGACAATTTGGGAAATAGGTTTGTTATATTTCATACCCTTCCTGAAGAACACATTGCAGCATTACTGAGGAATGATCCGGCACATAAACCCCTTTACCAATAAGATTCAATGTGTAAATTCGGCTTTAGTAGTTCGATTTTGTTTTCTATAAACAGACCAATACCGGCAATTTAAATTAAGGAACTCTTCATCAGCTGGAAACAGTCAATCATTCTTGTTACTTTCACTTTTTCCAGACCAGCAGCCTGTACTGTTCTGTGGTTTCCTAAAAGTGTTCTCACAAATGCAGGAAGCAAGATAAATGTGTCATAGTCAACATGGGAACACTTCCTTCATTCTGTAGATTTGTTTATTTCTTGGAATAATGGAATCATTATATTCCACTTCTATTCAAACCTTCACATTGAGAGTCTTTTCAGCGACATGAAGTTGAATTCTGAAAAGGTCAAAGATCCTCGAGGGACGTCATATCAACAGACAGGAAGATGAATCACATTGACCCGTTTAGACCAGAGTTTACCCAAGGGGATTCTGGGATTGGCCATGACACTTGCCATTAAAAACACCATTGTAGTCAGTGTCTACTGTAGGTGCAAAATATTGATACAATCCAGTCTTGGCAATTGGTTTAAGGGTAGGATTCTTGCTTCAGGTGCAAGTCCCCTCCACACCCCATGAGCAATCTAAGTTTATTTTGCTTGCACCAGAATAAAGCATCAACTATGAGCTCCAGTTATGAGAGGTCTTGGGTTCAAATCCAGGAAAATCCCTTGAAAGCACAACACAAATGAGACCCTCTGCTCAGGATTAATAATGTTGATGAATCCACATAGTTTAATCCTTTCCAGACACAAAAGAAAACAACTGCTTGCATGATAAAAGCTGGAAATCAGTCTTCAGTGATGACAGAGAAACCACCCAAAGGTGATCGTTAAAAAGGCCAGATGCTCCACCTTTTCGATACTCAATAATGAACATCAGGTAACAGTTTTTATTTGAATACCGTGCGTGTCGTCTCCTCTCCTGCCAAGATCACTGTGTCACTTCAGAGGAAAAACTCATAAAAGTGTGCAGCTGAAGTTTACAGTCCTCCCATAATGCCCTGGGGCGAACAATAAGGAGCACAACGGACCGTGGGCTTCAAAGAGCTGACTGTGCAACCTGCAACGTAATTACAAAGCTCCCCTGTTTTTAAAAGCCGTTTGATCACTGCAGATACCTGACGGCAAAATGAACGGAAAGTTCTCCTCGACATCAGCAGCTAAATGCTAATATAATGTAGCGCTTCAATTAAAATGTTTTAGTCCATGATGTTGGACACCATAGAAAACGTCTAGAAGTGGGTCGTTTGAGTTTTATATTAAGGTGATATAACGTTTATTTCGATTTTTTTGATCCAATTAAGAAACTTATTGTTGGCTAAACTAATAACATCAACTTGTAACTCTGATGCTAGCCGTGTCTTGTTCACAGGATGCAGTGACTGTCGATGTCTTAATAACTAGACTTTCAACTAACTTTGAAATATAACGATCTGCAATAGTATTTGACGCTTAGTGCAACACACATGGCACTTAAGAGCATAGCAATCTACTACCACCCACCACCACTCCCTACCACTAGGAGTGGTGGTGGATGGGTCAAACAAACACCCTTAACACAGGGGCTAGCCGTTTGTGCCTGAGTGAAAGCAAAACTATAATTATCTTTACGAACGTTATGATACGTGATGCTACATCACTGAGTCGTTTTTTCCACAGCTTTAAATACATAATTACTTTTCTTTAACCCTAAGCCCTTATCTTATTCATTTCTGGACTCTGGGCTCAGGTATTGAAATATCCTCTCAGCCTCTAGCTGGCTAGAGAGCAAGCTAATAGTAGTTGTTGATGCATCTCAAACATAAACTCATAACTTCATCAACTTTTCAAAACATTAAGCGGGTCTTTTGTTGTTTTAATCTACTGATTTTTAGCATATACATTTTTGCTTAAATTGCTAACTCACTAGAGTGGATCCACTTCGCCTGAGTCCGATGGTATCATTAAAAGGTGTTTCATCTATCAACAGCAGCCGTGCGGGGACCGTTGTTTTAATCTGTCCAGGTTTTTTCCGATACAACTGAAGCAGACAGCAGGCATCACTTGATCGTAATGAAAAGCTGGTTATTGATTTCTGAAGGTTAGCATAGAGGTGACAGCTGTAATGTGATGGAAGTCCATCAGAGGACTCTGTCAATTATTAATAAGCTCTGTTCGACCCCCAGGCCCTTAACATGATCACTCCATTCAGTTTGTTAAATGAATAGAAATTGCGTTTCAACCAAGCTCAGGATTGCTTTAAATCGGTCATATCTTTTACTCCATTATAGGTGTGATTGTGCCAACAAAACATGTAACTGCAGAAGATCCTGTCCACTACACTACACTGATTTTGTTTAGCTGATGCTTTTGTTCAAAGTCAACTGCATTCAAACTTGTGGATACATCCCAAATACTGCAGAAACAAATGCGTTGCCTTGGGTCTTGCAATGTTGGTGCTGCTGAATGATGTCTTTATGGTTTCCTCAGAGCTTCGACAGGACAGGACATATTGCACATTTTTCCATCCAACTTCACAACAAAATTATTTCTATCAGATATTCACATGATCAAGAAGATCCATCTGCTTGTTTATATCTTGATAGCAACATGCCTACCAATAGCAGCCTGGCGAATCCTTTTTATAAATTTCCCTTCTTTGAGATCTCCGTCAACAAGACTATTTTGTTGAGTTGTCTCTTAGCAAAATACTCTCTGGTTGGCAAAACTTGTATTGTGAAAAGGAGAAAGGGTCAGACAAGGTTGCATTTTAAAGTAAAGCTTATTAGAAACAACTCACGCCGGTTTCAACGGTGGGTTTGCCACACAAGTCAAATATAAATCTAGTTTAGACATTCTCTCTCACACACACACACACACACACACACACACACACACACACACACGACACACACACACACACACACACACAGTGCAGTGGTGTGGCGCCTGGTGTGATGTGGTTATCACGGTTGAGATACAGAGGTGTGAATGACTGACAAGTGGAAGTAAGAGGCAGCTGGAAGACAAACTCCTGTGTCAGCTGTCAACATGGTTTCTGCACCAACACACACACACATTTCTACTTTCACTGTTTAAACATGTAGTGCAAAAACACTTTAAATTCACAGCAGCTGAGGAAGTCATTTCATAGTCTTTCATTTTAATGAAACTGATACAACTTTCAGAGAGGTGTTGGTCCTTTTCGGCCACAGGGAAACCTAAATATCATCAAAGATCAATCAAATGTAAATTACTAAAATGTTTAAAGCAATTGGGTAAACAATGCTGCAAATAATGTTGTATATATATTCTAAAGTGTTTACTTATTGCATCAGTTTTCAGTCTTATCTGCGCAGAAAGGACTGATTTTGTAAGTTGTGGGACGGACGACATCTGGGGTTTTAGTTTAAAATCTCCCACTGCTGATTTTGACAGAGAAACTGTAATAAATCGCCAAAATAATTATCACTCTGATAATGCTTCAATTTGTGAGTGTTCTGATTTTGGCTTTTGAGAAAGTGGCCTTATGTTGTTGTTTATTAGCCATGTCAACGAATTTCACTTAATAAAAAACATTTTTCTTTGGATCTTTTTGGTATTTGTATGCATAATGCCCTTCACTTCAAATGCTTTTTCTTATGACCCCACCTTGTTCAGATGCAATTCGCAGCCCTTTACACAAAATGTAGATATCTGAAACAAACTATTTTTAGACAAATTTAGCCGACTTCTTCTTTTACTCTAGATGTGTAAGGGGATTGTGTGCAGGCAGCTGAGTGTAAACACACACTGTAACATCGAGAGGAAACCTGCACCCTGTATCTCAAACAGTAACGGCGGCGTTAGACGATCCCTGCTGCTCTGACTCAATCTCACCTCGCCTCAGACGGCTGCAGATAAGAAGAAGAAGAGGTTTTTTATTTATTTAAAGCATGACATGGGAACGCAGCAGCAGACGCCTGAGTCAGGAGCATAACAAGCTTCTCCTGGACTCGTAAAGAGCATTAATGAGTCCGCAGACCACAGCCTCCCACTGCTGTCTTATCAGGGCGTCCTGCGCGGCCTTTAACGTCACGTCGGTCTGTCTGTTATTCTTTACGTCCTTTTGTTTTCTCCTGGTCTGACTAAGATTGCATGCTTTAGTTTGTCAGGTGCAGATCACCCTAAAGCTCCTCATCCAGAGATATAAAAATACTTCTGGGTCCCATGCATTGTTTTTCAAGTGTCTTTGAACAAATATAAAATAAAATCTTCTTGTAATTTGATCGTAAAACTGAGAGTTTGAACGTATTGTTACCCTCACCACCCTCTCACGGGCTTACATTTATTATGAACCTACTGTATATTTGGAGCAAACATTCCTTCTAAGTATAATAAACTTCTTAAGTAGGTAGGATGATTGGTTGGTTTGTTTGTTTGGTTGGTGGGTGGGTGGGTTGATTGATTGATTGATTGGTTGGTGGATTGGTTGGTTGGTTGGTTGGTCGGTCGGTCGGTGGGTTGGTTGGTTGGTTAGTAGGTTTGGGGTTGACAACAGAATCATACTCATACTTTATTTGAAGAAGACACACTAGTAACATTATTACTTCAATCGATGCCAAGTGAGAGTTTTTAAACTTCAAATAAAAAGCCAGTATAGGAATGTGATCCTTTAAAAGCTTTCGAATAAAGAAGGAAAATGTAGTGTGTAAACATGAAGACTGGGTTTTAAGTGTATTAACTAAGGACAGAAATCACAAATGCAACCACAAAAATTTCACAGGAGATACTTTTACAGTTAGAGGTGTGGTCATCAGTCCCCTTCACTTAACAAAAAAAAAGCTGAGCTCACTGAGATGGAAAATATTCAGTAAGACTCAAGAGTTTGTGTGACCTTCAACACTGACTGGCTGCTGCATCACAGTTCATCACTTACGTCTGTGAGTCACACTGGAAATGTCAACTGGAAACTTGAGACGGATTAGAAAATAAATTCATTAAAGTGGGTTTGGAGATTTTGCAAAGAAAAGAAAGAGCAGGGAAAGTGTGTTGAAAATGATTTCCCACATATCAATAAGACATTTTTTGACAGCTGGCGGGAGATAATTGCAAAGAATAGTAAGGTTGAAGAAGAGGTGGAAAAAGATTCTTTAGTGAAGTGAGGCGTGTGGCGCAGTGGAATAGTGCGTTGGTGTTAGGATCAGGGGAGCACAGGTTCAAACCCATCTGCAGTCAGCATGTCGTTGTGTCCCTGGGCAAGACACTTCACCCCAAATTGCTCCTGTGTGGATTGCCTACAGTATGGAGTATGTACGTCGCTTTGGATAAAAGTGTCTAACATGTAATGTAAAAATAAAATACTATGATCTTACAATCCTCCATCAGTAGAAGTCCTGAATTCAAAACGGTACAGAAATACTTTAATCAAAATGTACTAACAGTTTTCACAATCACCCTTTTCACAGTATTATATTATTATAGAATATTTATACAATACTAGATAGATTAGTAATACAGTATTGCGTTTGCATCATATCATATAATTACATAATGTGTTTTTAAAAAGTAGCTAGTATTATGAGTATAAGGTACAATATTTGCCTCCAAATTGTATTGGAGCATACAGTATTTAGCACGAAATGGAAATACTCAAGCAAAGTAAGAATATGTCAAAATAGTGCTCGAATACAATACTTGAGTAAATTAACTTTGTTACTTTCCAGTAGAATAATTCCTTACCTTCTATGATGTTTTGATACGGCCTTTGAGATATACACACATCACTGGTACATTTTATTTATATGTGATCATATTTATGTGTTTAGGCATTGCAGTAAAAAGCCCTCAAACCTGCAGACAGATACCAAAAAAGGGACATGTTTGACATGTGCACTGAACAGCTAATAAACGTGTGTCACTCTGCTCTCAGGACGTTTCTCCAGAAGTATTTTAGCTGTCTCTGCAGTTTTAACAGCTGAATACCTCGGAGCTCGGAAGTCTTCAAAATTAAGTGGATAATGTGTCGAAAGAAATCATGTCTAGTGGAGGGTAATAACTCACACGACTGCATTTTCTGCTTAGTTTCACCAAATTCCTACATGCATTTGACTTTAATAAACTACTGAGTCACTTCTGGTTTTTCTTCAGATTGTACTGAACTTTCAGCCTTTGAGTCAATCTGCACAAACCTATAAAATATGTTGTGCTATAAGGTGGTGGGCTCTTCTAAGTGTAATTATTTGTGGATGCCAGCTATTATTCTACGCTACAAGCAGATACAATTGAGGTTGACTGAGAATCAGCTGCAGAGATTTACTCAGAGCTTTCTCCAGATGCATATAAAGAACTCAAGTTATGACAACTGCAGGAAGACAAGGGGTTTCCCATGACTCTGTTAGCGTCCAGTAATATCCTTTACACTCAATGCTGCCAAAAACCGAAAATTCCCTCACATTTAATAGTGACACACCCAGTTTACACTCAGCACACAGGGCTGCAGAGCTCTGTTAAAGTTAACAAATGTGTTGTGATCTGGAGAGGAAAGTGTACATGCTGATAGGAAGGCAAAAGAGAGGAACTGTGTGTCTTCTGTGTTGATGTCCTGCTGTGGTTACCATCCCACAATAACATGACTGTGGTCTCTAAGTGGTGAGAGCGAGGCACCAACACAGACAGAGTTCAGTTGGTTCGTTCCCACAGTGCTGTGAGACGCTTCGGAGGAAACAGTTTGTCTAAATGGCCGACGAAAGGGACATATTTCTAGCTGGAAAGTAACTCAAAGTAACTTAAGCCTCCTCTGATGCTGCTACCCGCCGGACTGGACACAACTGAAGGGTTTACTGTCCGTTTTATGAAGTGGGAAAGGAGTCCAACCCATCCAAAAACTTTAAGTTTTCCTTGTTACATTTACCACCATCATAAACTTTTAAGTCTCACTTTGGAGTCTAGAGAGGCATAGTTTATGCAGACCAGATGCAAAGCACTTGTAGAAGAAAAAAAGAAGAAAAGTTAGACTTGGAGGCTCAATAAAAGACAATAAGAAACATTCTTGATTTGAGAGAGAACTGTGACTCCTCATGGCTCGTTGGTCTGAGGGTATGATTTGGGTTCCACTCCCGGACGAGCCCATGCTTGTCTTGTTAATTAGTATATTAAGGAACCTATACTTGTCTATCTACCAACTCCAACCTGGGTAAATACTCTCAGCTCAGCTCTCAGTCTATCTTCAGTCAGGGTTCAATCCCTCCCCTCCAGTCAACATGATGAAGTGTCCTAGGGCAAGATACTTAACCCTAAATTGCTCCCTTAGCCATGTTTTCAGAAGTGAAAAAGATTATTAGACTTTAATGAATCTCTGAATCAAAGTGTTTAAAAGATATAATATCAATCAATCAATCAATGTTTATTTATATAGCCCAATATCACAAATGTTACATTTGTCTCAGTGGACTTCACAGTTTGTACAGAATATCAGTATGACAATACGACACCCTCTGTCCTTAGACCCTCACATCGTACAAGGAAAAACTTCCAGAGAAAAACCCACAGTTTAAAGGGGAAAATGGGAGAAACCTCAGGGAGAGCAACAGAGGAGGGATCCCTCTCCCAGGACGGNTTCTAAATACCGCTGCTGGTTTATAAAGTAACAAAAGTAAAAGTACTCATCATGCAGATTGGCCCATTTCAAAATAATATATATCATATGTTTTGATTATAAATATATATAAATATATTGGACTGATTATTTCTGTGTCTTAGTTTCTCTTATGTACATTGCCTTTTTTATGCTGCTTCAACACAAACAATCTATCTATCTATCTATCTATCTATCTATCTATCTATCTATCTATCTATCTATCTATCTATCTATCTATCTATCTATCTATCTATCTGTCTATATAGCCATCCATCCATCCATCCATCCATCCATCTATCTATCTATCTATCTATCTATCTATCCATCCATCTATCTATCTATCTATCTATCCATCCATCTATCTATCTATCTATCTATCTATCTATCTATCTATCTATCTATCTNTCGTGGATTCATGTTCTTATTATAGACACATGCATTTCCAAACATTTGGTCTTTCCAAACATTTGGTCTTCGAAGAGATAATACATTTTACAGCGTAGGTAGACCAAATGTTTGGAAAGACCAAATGTTTGGAAATGCATGTGTCTATAATAAGAACATGAATCCACGAGGATGTCAACAATCCTGTGGGAGCCATCAGGGAAGTAGTATGGTGAGAGTCTGGCAGGACCGCAGAGACTGGTTCAGCCACGCCACGACTCGAAGTCCAGGACTCAGATCCAGTACTCAGGATAGAGGATCCAGGACACACGACCACAGCAACAGGATTAGCCTCGACTCAGGATCCCGGCGTATATGTAGACACAAAAAAGAGATTTGGGGGAAGGTGGGTTAATCAGAACATGAGAGTACACAGGTACAAACAGACAGAAAGACGAAGTAAGGTGTGTCCCCCGACAGTCTAAGCCTATAGCAGCTAAACTAACGTATTCATAATACAATTAAAACAAGGTAACATCTAGTACAAGCCATCACATCAATGTAATACACATTAAAGGTGGGGTATGTAACTTTGGAGAAACCAGCTCGAGTGCGCTAGAATTTGAAAGTACGCAGCCGTAAAAAATCTGCCTCTTCCTTCAGACTTCCTTACAGAGCCCCTCCTCCAACACACGAACTCGCACATGACCAATGAGGAGGCGCGTTCACACCGGAGTACTTTTAACCGTACTTTTCCCGTTTAGTTCCGTTAGTGCCTGGAATTTTGCGTTCATTTTGCGTTCATTCAAGCCAGTCCCCAACTCCGGGGACTTCAGGCCGGGGACTTCGGGTGGCAGTATACGCCGTGAAGTGGTTTGCGGCCTGCCAGTAAACCCAAAGCAGAAGAAGTGATGTCAGCGGCTTCATTTGCGTAATCTTCCCTCAGGGAACTTATTCCGGTGTGAACGCGATCTGTACTTAGTTCCATGGGGGTACTAAGTGCTGGCACTAAGTGCTGGGCACTAAGTACGGCAAAGTACTTGGTGTGAAAGCGGCTAATGAGGGCACGAGCTGCGTTCACACCGGACGCGATGCAATGCTTTGGGGAGACGCGGACAGACGCAAATTCACTCCGACAGCGAGCATGAAGCGGTGGACGCAAATTCCGCGGTGCGATTGACGCGATTGAAGGGGGCCGCAACAAACGCTCGAGTTCAATTTTTTCAACTCGAGTGTCATATTCGCGTGACGTGATCTTGCGGTAGCCAATCAGTGGTGAGGATCTCAGCCTGCCGTCACTGACGTTCAACCAGAAAACATCAGCCTTAGCTGTTAGCAGTTAGCAGTTAGCACACAGAGCTCACAGCTCCTCATATCTGTTCAGAAACTGGACAAAAGTTAAACAAGTACAAACCACAGACTGCCTGTGTCATGGCGAATACAGTCGCTGGTTTATTTATGTCTCTAGGCCGTTGTTATGAGTGTGGACGGAGCATATACAACGTTAGTTTAGCCTGGTCGATCCGATCTCCATTCAGAAAACACGCATTTTAAAAGTTTTTTCGCCTGCCGTCTTGTCTGCAGACTTGTCAAGCATTAATTCATGGTTTTTACTAACCGGTATCAGTATGTTGTTATTTAGAAACGTGTATTACAATTTAATCACGGTCAAATATGTTCAGTTTGTTCAGGGCCGTCCCACCCTACAGGCCGATCATGCAGGCTGCATGGGGCCTCACATTGCGCAAGGGGCCTCGCGCAGGGGGCCTCGGCTTATGAGCTCGGCTTGTGCGCAGTTCTCCGCGCAGTTCTCAGCGCAGTTCTCAGCGCATGAGAACTGCGCCGAGAATTGAGAACTTTTGCCAATTGCCATATTAAAACATCAGCTGCAATTCATGACATGAAGAAGTCATGCATAGCATATAGGCTAATGGAGATGCAGTTATTTCCAGCATTTTTTATTTACCATTCATTCAAGTATTTTATGCCTTTTATCTGCTAATGTACCGGAGGAGGAGTGATAAACTGTCTGTCTAGTTGGCTTACAGAACAGTTAAAGTTTACAGCCTAAAAAACATGGAGCATTTTTTCCCCTTTTATTCATTTTTATGTCAATTTGCACATTTCATGGTGATGCTCAGCCTCTCCCCTTAACTCCTAACAGTCATCATCATGTCAACCACAACACAGAGTTATACTGATAGAAATGTGTGAGTAGTTGTTGATACATTGTTGACAGAGGGAACTACATTTGAATACAGATTTAAGAAATATCCGTTTTTGAGCATGTAATAAGCATGTTTTGTCTTGACCATATTACAACTATATTATAATAAAATAATATAGTATTTATATTATTGAATTGATTATTATTATTAGTAGAAGTAGTTTATTTGCATTAATTATATTTTAATCTTTTTGAGGCTAGTATTTACAGGAAATGCAGACGTATTCACCTGTAAACGCATACTGAACGACATACATGCATATTTACCATTTACCTCACTGTATAAAAAAGTAACTGTGTTGATAATAATAATAAACAGGAATTATATTTGCAAAGTAGCCTACTTTGTTTCC